GTTTTCTGTTTTCGTAGGGCCCAGGTCTCCAAGGCGTATGTTAATGCAGGAAGAACAGTGGAATCAAAGAGATGTGCATAGAGCCGGAGATTCTTTGTTCTCTTAGCTAATTCTTCGATGCTCTTGAAGGCGTTCCAAGCCGCTCTCTTCCTCCTGTGTAACTCAGGTGCCAGGTCATTTGTCACGTTGACTTCTCGAACTAGGTACATATAACTGTTACATTAGAAGTTGTTCGGCCCTTTGAGAGCAAATGAAATGTCAGGAATGAGACTGTTTCTCATAAACATTGTCTTCAAGATATTCAGCTGTAATCCGACCTTTCCACACTCACGGTTGAAGTTGGCCAGCATTAATGCCACTTGGCTGATGTTTGGTGTTATTAGAATGATTTCATCAGCGAAACAGAGCTGGTGTAGTTGCTGACCATCTATCTTCACTCCCATTTCTTCCCATTCCAGTCTTCTCATGACATTCTCAAGGGTGGCACTGAAGAGTTTAGATGAAATGGTATCACCCTGCTGAACCCCTCTCTTGACATCGATGATCACTTCCTTGTAGAATGGTGAGATCCTGGTAATGAATCCATAAATACAGCTCATTGGAGGATCCTGATGTATTGAGTTTGAACACCCTGTTTGGCTGGGGCTTTGATGACCACTTCAATCTCAACAGAATAAAAGGCCTTCTTTAAATCAATGAACGTTAGACAGAGTGGCATCTTCAACTCCCAAGAAACCTCAATAAGCCTGGTTATCATGTGAATGTGGTCGATTGTGCTGGATCCTTTTCGGAACCCAGTTTTCTCGCATGGTTGTCCTTCTTATAGTGTTCTGCCAAACCTATTCAGGATGACTCGAGTGAACAGCTTGTAGACGACAGACAACAGGCAGATGGGGTGATATTTGCCAATGTCGTGGATGTCTCCCTTCTTGTACACTAGTACAGTCCTGCTGGTTTTCCACTGGGATGGAACCTTGTATTCAGACAGATAGTGTGTGAAGAGCAGAGCCTGTGTAATGATGAGTACTGATGGCAGGTTCTTCAGGTGTTCAGGTCTGACCTTGTCTGGGCCAGGTGCTGTTCACTTCTTTACTGACAAAAATGTCATGTTGGATTTCGGAAGGGAGAATGTTGGGAACGACATATCCATCCTGCGGAATTTGGTATGTGGGCAGATGGAGTGGCTATTGAAGAGATCCGAGTAGAACTCATGGATAATCTTCTCCATTGCCCTTCTGGAAGATGTGATAGATCCATCAGGACATTGGAGGGCAGCCATCTTGGTCTTGTAGTTGGCGAAGAACAGGCGGGCATTGAGAATGCTTTTCCCAACTTCTGCTGCATCTGCCAGCACTGCTGCTCTTCTTTCTTTGAGGTCTTTATTGCTTCTCTGCTCTGCTTTGCGAGCTCGGATGTTCACTTGCAGTTGCCTGAGGTTTTCGCCAAGCCACATTGGTGAATGAGCTCGAGAGTTTTCAAAGACAGACATCTTTTAGTGGCTATTTCTCTCTTGGTGTTCTTTGCACAATCATGTAGGTGCTGAACCAGTCGATCGTAGTCCTTGTCAATGTTGTTAATAACCGCATTTTCCCATGCTGCACAATAATGCCAAAGAGCTCCCAGTTGGTGGTCGTTCAGGGAGTTCTTTTATTATATTTTGCATCCCTTTCTCCCCGCTCTGTGAAGTAGAATTTTGCATGAAGGATACAGTGGTCAGATCCCATTTGGAATTTTAGACAACAGTGACATCGGTCAGGCAAAACCGTTGATTGAATATGATGTGGTCAATTTCATTGTGGAACCATCCACTGGGAGACTCCCAAGTCCAACATTTAGATTCATCCTTTTTTGGAACTGTGAGTTACCATGGATGATGTTGGTCGACATGATGAACTCTGACAGTCTCTCACCCTGTTCGTTTCATTCTAGGTCATGCGTCCCAATGTGGAGTTCTTTTGCTGATCTTCTCGGTCTTATCTTGGCATTAAAATCACCGACAATGATCTTGTAGAAGGTGTGGTCTTCTTTATAGATCTTCTCCAGCTCCATGTATAACTTTTCAATATCTCCTTCATCATACTTGGATGTTGGTGCATAGACAATGAAGATAGAAACTGCCGGTAGTGAGCCAGATCTATTCAAGTGTAATGGTCTGATTCAAGTTGTTAGGCATTTGAATGAATCAATATTTATGGCCAAGTTCGTGTTGACAAGGACACCGACACCACTGATGCCTCTTTTGTTGCATGTTCCAAGGAAGAGTTTTTCTCCAGTGTCGAAAACAGCATGATGTGATTGATGCCTTCTTGTCTCAGTCAGACCAATGATGTTGCATGTGATCTTTCACGCTTGTACCATCAGGTCCTCGATGGATGTATCCGATGCCAGTGTATGTGCGTTGAAAGTACAGACAGTGATTTTTGTCCTTCATTTTGGCAGCCTAGTTCGGCCCTGAGATTTTATCAGCCTCTCTTTACCTATCCTTCTTAATGCTGCCGAAATGGTGGCTCTTTAAGGGTCAGAGAAATGAGACCCATTGTATTTACTGGTTTTGACACATTGAATACACCACAGACAGCTTGCCAGGTTCTGCCGTGTGGGCAGGACACTCTTGGTAGTTTGCCAGTCTCTCCGAGAGGGATAGGGGCTTTTAGGGCAGTCTCTAATCATCCTTGCAGGTGTTCCCATGGTTCAAACCATATTTGAACCCCATCAAACATGGTGCAGTAATCTTGTATTAAGTGGTTTATGATGTCCGGAAAGCATCCTGGAGCATGGCGGCGGCTTGGTAATGGAGGTAGTAGAGGCAGTGGAGTTCTGCTGCGCTGCTGGGAGCAGGCCTGGACATTTACAGAACATTAATTGGATGTCTCTCTGGAGTGAGAAGAAGATTAGGCTGTTGATTTCTATATAACTAGATATGGAAATAGCACTGTAGCACTGTCCTCCCATCGTTCATCGATTTGCTTGAGCGGGCCCAGTAACGTCTCCATAGTGAGACTTGTTGTTACTGTGTTTGGCATATCGACTATGTCACAGGTAGCTTGTCAGGCTTTACCGTGTGGGCTAGATACTCTCAGTAGCTTGCCAGCCTTTCTGAGAGGGGTGGATAGTTCTTATAACATGTGGGTTTATATTTCACACATTTGTGTGAATGTTATGAACCCATGTGTTCCCATCCCTCTGGCCCATCCAACACCCAGATCAGCATCATGAAGGGCAGGTGCCCACACAGGGGTATCTGTGAGCCAGCAGGAAGCCGGACAGTTCTAGGATCAGAGTGACATGGGGGTTCTGGAAGTGAGAAGATTAGGCTGTTCTGTTGGAACTTGAGGCCACACCTGGCAGTGCTCAGGACATATTCCAGTCTTAGGAACCTCTCCTGGAAGGAAAAATATGTAGTTCCAGGACTGCAATTGTGTTGAACACATACCAGCCTGGAACTCAATAGGGCAGTATCTCGAGGACATGGGTCTCTCTAGACTGTCTTGGAGACAGTGTCTACAGATGAATTTTTAGGAGCAGCACAGGAGACTCGGGGTCAGTCTGGGGACAAAACCACCTTCAATTTATTGCCAGCTTCTCATGGGACACCAGTGAGGAAGGTTCCCTGCCTGCCCATTGTCTTTCCTGCTACAAGGATTTGACTTTGGAGGACTGTGTCTGCCCCAGAGAGCAAGTGTCAGAAGAACTACTACTCTACATTCTGCGTCCCATGACTCCACTGACCTAGAGGGTCTTGCACAGAAATCCAAGGAAATGAGTGAGAACTGGGGGTTACCATGGACAGGAATGAGAAAAGCCAGAGACCAGTACTAAAGACACCAGGGCCCATGTGTGAAGCAGAATAAACTGGACCCTGTGAGGTCAGGACAGGGAGTCAGAGCTGAAGAGCTGGAGTCTCCATCAGGGACACAGAGGTGAAGCCCTGGGGGTGCAGGTGGAGGAGGTGAGAGGGTCTGGGAAGGGTGGCCTGGAATTGGGGAAGAAGTGAAGCTACTTTTTTGGTTTGTTAGTATTTTTGTTAGTGTTTTCATTTGTAAATTTGAGGCCATACCTGGCAGTGCTCAGGACATAATCCAGGCTTAGGAATCACTCCTGGAAGGAAAAATATGTAGTTCCAGGACTGCAACAGTGTTGACCACATACCAGGCAATAACCTGACCTGTTGTACTCTCTTTGACCCTTATGAAGCTCCCCCCCCTTTTTTTTTTTATAAAAATGTACATTTCACTGGATGGAGTGATAGCACAGCGATAGAGCGTTTGCCTTGCACACAGCCAGCCTGGACGAGCCAGGTTCGATTCCTCCGTCCTTTCGAAGAGACCGGCAAGCTACCAAGAGTATCTCACCCACGCTGCAAAGCCTCGCAAGCTACCCGTGACATATTCAATATGCCAAACACAGTAACAACAAGTCTCAAAATGGAGAAGTTACTGGACCCGCTCGAGCAAATCGATGAACAACGGGAGGACAGTGACAGTGACTGTACATTTCACAGTAAATTCCTTTAGGCCTTAAAATCTTGAAAACGTTGTGTCAATAATCTGATACTTAGGTAATAATATATCCCTTACAAATGTGGGCAAAACTGGGAGGGTGAAGTGGGGCTGCTCATCAGCTGACAGTTCACTATAACTGTTCATTCATAGCACACAGCCCCCTGTATATCTGCTGCTCTGCCAGCCCAGGCCTGTGCCTCTGACCAGGCCCTAATGCAGAGTGTCTCCAGTACAGCAGGGCCTCTCAGAATCCAGACCCACAGCTGCAGCCTCCTCCCCTGAGACCCCCAGTGCCTTCCTCTCACTGACTCTGAGACTCTGCTTCTGCTCACCAGCAAAGAATATGTGTGGCCATCTGGGGCAGACCAGGCAGGGAGGTTTATGTTCAGGGCTGTATCACTGTGTGAGGTTTCCATGAACCTTGCATGCAGTAGTAAATTCCAACATCCTCAGGCTCCACCCTGCTAATCTGAAGAGTGAATTTTGTCTCTGACCCACTGCCACTGAACCTATCTGGGACCCCAGGGTCTCGTTTAGATACTAGATAGAACAGGCGCTTTGGAGGTTGGCCTGGCTTCTGATGGAACCAGTTCAGATAGGTTTTTCCATTACTATATAGGATACTCTCGCTAGATGTGCAGGAGATGGAGGCTGGCTCTCCCTTGACGATGGACAGGGAGAGTGGATGCTGAGTCATCACAATATCACCATTGGATCCTGAAAAATTGATTTTTAAAAGCGTCAGGTTACATTCAAATATCACAGGTCAATTTTATTGATTCCTTTCTGCAATTTATTTTTGGTGAAATATTGTTTACTGGGAAAGTCATTACTTGAATGATTTATACTCATACACCAGAAAGATGTCATCCCAGTGAAGAGACCTTAGGGATGGGGAAACAGGCCTCTATGCCTTCCCTGGATCATCTCCAATTTCCTGATACTTCTCTTTCACACAATCTGACACACAGACAGATCACGCAAGGCGACAAGTGGGCTCCCCAAACACCCCCTGCTGAACCCATTCTTTCTCGTCTTCCTGATCCCCTTACCTAGGATGCAGAACATCAGCAGACCCAGAAACTGAGCAGGGGACCTCATTTTGAAAGTTGATCTGAGTAGACCCAATTATTGAAAGCCAGATATAGCTGACTCTTATGTGAGAATGTCCAATATAGACCCTCCCCCGGGGACAGCATGCAAATACAGGGTGGGTGAATTAGTGTGAAAAGACCTTGAGGAAGGAGTTACTTCTCTTGATCAAAGTGACGAATGTGTCTTCTAGTCTATGAAAAACAGTGGAAACATTCACTTAGCCTGGATAGTAGTGGTAATTATGGAACACTTCTCAGTCTAACTATGGGACACACAGATGTGTGTTCAAAAAGAAAAGGATGTGTTCTTTTTATCTGCTTTATGGTTTGTTTGGGGACGATACCTAGCAGTGCTCCGGGGTTACTCTTGACTTTTCACTCAGGAACTACTACGAGCAATACTTGGGGGACCACATGGGATGCTTCATGCAAAGCTATGACCTTAAACTCTGCACTATCACTCAGGCCCCCTCACTGTGTCTCTCACAATTAGTATACTTCTGATTTATCATGTGTTATAGCCATGTAAATATGTAAATATGTGTCTAGGTCAACCTCAGGCAAGCATTTGATATAAAAATCTGTGTCCCGTAAAATTTCTTCTTCTTTTTTTTTTTTTTGCTTTATTTTTTGGGGGGGATGTTACACCCGGAGATGCTCAGGCCTCAATCCTGGTTCTACACCCAGGAATCACTCCTGGTGGCGCTCGAGGGACCATATGGGATGCCAGGACTTGAACCCAGGTTGGCTTAGTGCAAGCTAAATATCCTACCCACTGTGATATTGCTCTGGCCCCAAGTCTCAACATTTAGAATGGACATGGGAGCATCAAATTTCTCTGTTTCTGTTGTAATCAAGCTAATACTTTCATATTTTTATAATCAAGAATTTCAAATTGCCTTTGCCTAGGGTCTTATGAATTGAATTCATGGTGTCACGTATGTTCAAGGACTTTGACACAGAATAAAATAGCACAGCGGTAGGGCGTTTGCCTTGCACGCAGCCACCATGGCCGACCCGAGTTCGATTCCTCCGCCCCTCTCGGAGAGCCCGGCAAGCTACCGAGAGTATTCGATATGCCAGACACAGTAACAACAAAGTCTCCAATGGAGACGTTACTGGGCCCGCTCGAGCAAATCGACGATCAACGGGAGGGCCTTTACCTTTACCTTTTACCTTTTATTGAGGTTGCATTTATACTCTCAAACTACATACAAAAGTGTCAGTTAAGATCATGTAAGTTGAACTACATTTTACCATATTTTACCATATTTAAAGAACAAGAGGATTATACATGCATCAATAAGGCTTAAATTCAGTTACAGCCATATATTACACTGGAGAAAATTGTCTCTCTAGAGGTTAGTGCAGGAGATATTTTTTGCCATAGCAGACAAAAAATCCCAGGGTCTACTAGGGATTCAACTCAGAGTTTGTCTCTTAGGGTATTGGAATATATCTCTAAACATTTAGGATAACATTGGTTTGTCCTTTCTCCCTTGCCACAGGGATCTTAGGCTTATTAGGTTATACCCTTCACAGTGCTCCCGAGTCACTACCATTCCTTTGCTTATTTGTAACTTCGCTGTGCTCTCTTCACCAAACCTTCTATCACCTTTTCCCCCTAATCAGACTCTGTTGACTTGTAAGATCAGATACTTCTAAGGACAATGAACATGTATTGTAAGTTAAACATTGTCTTTTTCCTCTACTTATGTCTTTTGCATAGTAATGTCCTTTTTGTATAGACACAGAAAGACAGTTAATATTATGCTTTTGTAACTTGGGAGTTAATAATTGACTCCGAATAATATTCCCTCCAAGGAATCTACTTTCTTGACTTAAGCCTCAGTGCCCTTCATTCATAGCACCCCAAAAGCAGGGTCCTGATGAGGGACTGAATGGACCCAGGGCAAGCTGTGAACTACCCTGGAATCAAAATGGACCAGGCCAAAGCACCGCAATACTTAACTTTAAGATAAGAGCTTCCCCACGGACAAATTCCTTCATGATCTAAAAAGTAGCGATGAGATAAGGACCCTGCTGGGGTTAGAAAAGACTAATCTGGCCTGAGCACTGTAGTCTGAGATCTATAGTGAGATGGCCCAAGGGAGCAATTCTATAAGCTTAATGTATCTCTTACTGTGTCCATACAAAATGACTAATATTATGAATGCATGTTTGTTGGACTAAGGAAAGGAGAAACACACCCATAATTGGAATTTCAGTCTTATCTATTTCAGTCTTGGGAGAGACATCTGCTAGATGAGAATTTGTCCTAGAGAAGCTTCCCCTGAGGGAAGGACATTACCTCTGTTGACTGTGTGACTACACCTATGTGTAAGTCCCAACTCCTCGTGCTTTGGGATTTAACTAGGCTGTAAGTGTGGGCTGGGGGATGCAGAAGGAGAATAAAGGAGAATGAGGAGGAAGAAGCAGGAAGAAGAAGTATGAGGGAGCAGGGTCCAAGGGAGGATGAGGGGGATGCAGAAGGGCAGAATTAGAAGGAGAATCAGAGGAGAATGGAGATGGGAATAAACTGAAACTGACACCAACCAGCCTGGCCCTCATTCCCTCCTTCATCTGTACTTCGTCATAGTCGAGTGGGGGAAGCAGCATGAGACTATGGAATGCAGGAGGCAGAGAAGAGAGAGAGAGAGAGAGAGAGAGAGAGAGAGAGAGAGAGAGAGAGAGAGTCATCACGTGGCCCTTCGTAATTTCGTTTTTTGAATATACACATTAAAGAGGTTCCATAACCAGCGCAGACTATTGAACTTTAAAGTTTATGGTCTACAAGTAGAATTCATCCCAAGGATGCAAGGATGGTTTAATGTTCAGAAATCAATCAACATAATCTATTATATCAACAAAAGAAAAGATAAAAACCATATGATCATATCAATAGATGCAGAGAAAGCATTTGACAAGATCCAGCACCCCTTTATGATGAAAACCCTAGACAAATTGGGTATAAGGGGAAATTTCCTCAACATAGTTAAATCCATCTACCAGAATCATACAGCAAGCATCATCCTCAATGGGGAAAAACAGAGAGCCTTCCCTCTAAGATCAGGGACGATGCAAGGATACCCACTCTCTCCATTGCTGTTCAATATAGTACTGAAAGTACTTGCAATAGCAATTAGGTAAGAAAAAGATATTAAAGGTATTCAGGTAGGAAAGGAAGAAATCAAGCTCTCACTATTCGCAGATTATATGACACTATACTTAGAGAACCCTATAACCTCCACCAAGAAACTCCTAGAAACAATAGACTTGTATAGTAAAGTTGCTGGCTATAAAATCAATACCCAAAATTCCATGACTTTCCTATAAGCAAACAGTGAGAGAGAAGAAAGTTACATGAAAAAAACTATACTGTTCACAATTGTGCCCCAGAAAATCAAGTACCTAGGAATCAGCTTAACTAAGGGAGTAAAGGACCTGTACAAAGAAAACTACAAAACGCTACTTCAGGAAATAAAAGAGGACACGAGGAAATGGAAAGATATCCCCTGCTCACGGGTCGGGAGAGTTAACATAGTCAAAATGGCAAGACTTACCAAAGCATTGTACAAAATCAATGCAATCCCTATAAGGATACCCATGACATTCTTCAAAGAAATGGAGAAACCATTCCTGAAATTCATATGGAACAATAAGCCCCCACGAATAGCTAAAGCAATTCTAGGGAAAAAGAAAATGGGAGGAATCAAACTCCCTAACTTCAAACTCTACTATAAAACAGTAATAATTAAAACAGCATGGTACTGGAACAAAGGCAGAGTTGCAGACCAATGGAAAAGGGTTGAATACACTGACATCTCCCCTCAATCATATGATCATCTAATCTTTAATAAAGGTGCAAGAAACGTGAATTGGAGTAAGGAAAGCCTATTTAACAAATTGTGCTGGAAAAACTGGATGGCTACCTGCAAAAAAGTGGGCTCAGAACTCTGCCTAACACCATGTACAAAAGAAGATCAAAATGGATTTAAGACCTTAACATCAGACCGGAAACCATAAGGTACATTGAAGACAAAGTTGGCAAAACCCTCCATGACATTGAAGCTAATGGTATCTTCAAAGATGTCACATCACTGGCCGAACAAGTGAAAACAGAGATAGATAAATGGGACTATCTTAAACTAAGAAGCTTCTGCACCTCCAAAGAAACAGTGACCACAATACAAAGACAATCTACAGAATGGGAAAGAATATTCGCCGAATACACATCTGACAAGGGGTTGATATCAAGGATATATAAAATACTGATTGAACTTCACAAGAAGAAATCATCCAACCCCATAAAAAATGGGGCAATGAAATGAACAGAAACTTTCTCAAAGAAGAAATCCAAATGGCAAAAAAGCACATGAAAAAATGTTCTACATCATTAATCATCAAGGAGATGCAGATCAAAACCACAATGAGATACCATCTTAACCTCAGAGACTGGCCCACATCCAAAATAACAAAAGCAACCAATGCTGGCACAGATGTGGTGAGAAAGGGACACTCCTATACTGTTGGTGAGAATTCTGACTGGTTCATCCCTTTTGGAAAACCGTATGGACGATTCTCATGAAATTAGAAACTGAACTGACCCAGCAATACCACTCC